GAGAGGGGAAGGAGCCGGCCTGAGGTCACACAGCAGGTGAGCCTGGCCTAGCCTCTGGGGCCTCGGCGCTCAGAGCCGGGTGGGCGGGTCCCAGGGTCCAGGAGGGGAGTGAGAGCTGAGCACGCCCCCACCCACTGCGCTGGCCACGACTCGAGAGAGAGGCCCGGGGAGAGACACAGCGCACAGAGACACGCACGCAGAGACCGGGAGACAGGAAGAGCGGAGGACGGAGGCCCAGGCGCCGGGACCAGACAAAGGACGCGCGGCGGCGCGGGGAGCGGAGTCGCGCGGCAGGGGCGGGGGTGGAGCAGGGGTGGGGCTATAACTGGCCAGCCCCGCCCCCGGGATACGCCCGGGCTGCCGAGTGGAAATCCGAGGGCTCGGGCGAGGCCGGGCCCCCGGGGCCCTGGGGCGGGGCCTAGATGGGCGTGCCCGGGCGTGGCCAGACAGGGCGTGGCGGGCGGGAGGGGCCGCGCTCGGGAGCTGACCAGCTCCGCGGCTGCTGAAAGCACCGGGAGCCGGGCGAGTGGCGCGGGCTGGCGGGCGCGCTCAAGGTCACCCCGCGGCCCAGAGCCCTGGCGGGGTGGGGCGCCGGGACCTGGCCTAGGGGGACTGCCTCAGCCCCCTACCCCATCTCCCGAGGGGGCGGGGGCCCAGGAGCCGAGAAGTCTCCCCACCCCACCCCCCGCGGGCGCTCCTCTCCCCTCCCCGTCCCCGCAGCCCGAGGCGCCCGCGCGAGGCTACGGCCCGCGAAGAAGCGCCGAGAAACAAAGGGACGCGGCAGCGGCGGCGGGCCCGCGGGGCCTCCGGGCGCGCCCCCTCCTCTCCCCTCCCCGCTTGCCGCAAGGTCGACGGGCTCGAGGACGAGACGCCCGCCTTCCGGGCGCGGCCGAGGCCCGGGGCGCGCGATCCGACGCCACCCGCTTCCCCAGGGCACTCGGGGACGCCTTGCCGCCTGGGCCTGGCCCAGCACCAGTGATCGGGGCCCTGCGTTTGCCTGGGCGGCCTGCCGGGTCTGGGCCTGGAGGAGGGAAGCATCCTCCGCCGCCGCGGCCCCTCCCCCATTAGGCCCGTTGGAGAGCGGGCACTCCGGCCTCCAGGGCGGCGTAGGACGCCCCTCGGATCGCAGCCCGAGTCCCCAAATACTTTCAGACCAGGCTCTAAGCGCCCTCAGCACTCTGGGCGCGGCCCTGCCCACTCTCAGGCCCCGAGGCTCGGTCCTACCCCCCCACCTGGGCCTAGCTAGGCCTGGTCCTACCCCCCCCAATCTCCGCGGAACCTGGGCCCAACCCCTCGCCGCCCAGGTCCCCTCTCGGCGACAGGAGAATACCTACAGTGACCATTCTTGTGTGCCCGGCGGGCGCGGTCCGTGTTGAGGGCGGCTCCGGGGGTCGTGCACTCCTAGCGGGGCGCCCGATGCTCACGCCGGGGTCCCGCCCGAGCGGCCTCCGGTGCGGCCGCTGCAGATGCAGCGATGAAGGCGGCGGCTCCCTCGAGGGCCAGGGACGGGCCCGAGCCCGGGGATGCGCGCGCGGATGACCGGGCCCCGGGGTGGCCTGCGGGCAGCAGGGGATGGAAAGAGGGAGCGGGCGCGGGGTTGAGGACGCCCCCTGCGCGGCCCCGCGGGGCCCGGGGAGGTTGCGCTTCCCGACAGAGATCGCGGCGCTCTGCCTTTCGCCGCCGCCCCTCGGTTGGGCCTGTCCGGTCTCGGGTGCTCAAGTCCTCTCCCCTCGCCCACCCTCCCTCCCTCCCTCCGGCCCGCGCTGCGCGCTCCGCGCTCTGGGCCGCGCCGCCGCCGCCCCCAGCCCTTTATAGCAGCAGCTGCCAGCGCCGGCGTCGCTCATTGGCTGCGGCGACCCAGCCCCCGCCTCCTCGCGGCGCCCGACGGCGCGGCAGGTGGAAGCGAGCGCGCGCGGGCCGGGGCTCCGCACCCACAAAAAGCGCATCCCTGGAGCTCGGGTAGCCAGATTTGGGCCTGCCTTCTCTCGCAGCCACTGCTCCCTGCCTCGGCAGCCCTTCCTGGGCGGGCTTTCTGCCCGGGTGACAGAGCGGGCTCCCATCCGCGGTCCAGCACCTAGCGCTGGAGGAGCAGAGACAGAGAGGAGGTGTAGGTGGCCCGAATGTGCGACCTTCCGGAGGCGCTGTCCACCGAGGGGACTAGAAGGGGACGAGGAGCCAAGATTTCAGTAGGCAGAGACCTGGGGCACCAGGTGTAGTCCCCTTCAAGGCCACGGTGGGAGTGTGGGGGTGGCCAAGGCGGCCCTAGTCTGCCTGCGGAAGGAAGCTGGGACTCTGTGGATTCTGGGCGGGCCGGGCACCTCCAGGGCTGCAAAGGCCGGGACTACGCCCGGTGCCGGGGAACTCCGCACTGCCCCGAAGTGGGTGGAGAGGTTTGGGGACCAGTGTTTCAGACAATCCTCGCTGGAGACCTGCGGCTTGGGACAACCACCGATCCTTCTCCGACCCCACAAAACGAGGGTGGGCGGATCTGACTCGTAAATGTCCTGGCCTTCTGGGCTCGTGATTGGTCCTCCTGACTGTGGAGTCATCCTCCCTCTCTGCGAGGGGGGCCCGGGCCTCTCTCTAGGGCGTTGGGGGTGGCGCAGCCTCCTTTGGTGCACGGGCGCACGTGTATGTTTACGTCGGGGCCGCAGCGAGACGCGGGAACGAGCATTCACTGGAGCAGGGGCGTCTCCGAGCGAAGCTTCAGCACCCCAGAAAGCGGTCCGACGGCCGGGCCCACGGTGCTGCGGGGGGGCGTGGGCCGGACGCCCTAGCTGCAGAGCCGCAGCCCCAGCCTATCCCAGTTCCCGCACGCCCCGTTAGGCTCCAGACTGTCAGACAGTGCCGTCAGCGAGAAGAACCTAATTTGTCCAATCAGGGACGGCCCTTGAGAGAACCAATTGCCGGAAGATGCCCTAGAGATTGAGCCAATGAGAGCGCGCGCAGCGAGGGTGCTGCCCACGCTGATGGAGATGGCAGGCCAATCACAGCGGCCCGCGCAATCGGGGCGGTGGCAGTGCAGGTCCCCGGGTGGCCCCTCTTGGGCTTGCCGGGGCGGCCTGGCTGCCGACGCTGGGGACCCGGAGCGACGGTCGGTCCCCCGCCCGTGTTCCTCCTCCCGGTTCCAGTCCTGGCGGACGCCGTGCGGAATGGGAGGGGGCTACTCCCGGGCGCGCAGACCCCATGGCGGTTCCCTTGGAAACTGCCGGCTGCGGCTGTGCGGGGCGAGAGGGGGGGACTGGCCACCCGGGAAAGCAGCTCGCGGGGGCGGCCCCAGCGGCCGGCCCCGCTCATCCTCGCCAAATCTTCCATCCCCAGCCGAGGTAGCCCCCGGCCCGGAGCGTAAACTGAGGCACAGCTGTGGCCCCGCCCCACCCCGCGAGCTGGTGAGGAGCCGGCTGGGCCAATCTGCGCGTGGCGCCACAGGGCTCCCCCGGGCACGTGCCCGAGCTCGCGGCTGCGGTCCCCGGGGTCACGTGGCTGCGGCCACCCGGGCCGACGCGGCTCGCGCGCCATCTGGCGGCCGCACGTCACTCCCCGCCCCTCTCCCGAGCGGTCCTCCGGAGGCGGCGGCCTCAGCATCCCCCTCTGGGAAATGGGGCCAGGGCAAGCGCTGCCAACTACCCCCCATCCCCCGTTCCTTCCCGTTCTGGGAACACGCCGAGCTGGTTCCATCTCGGGACTGTGGCACTGGCTGTTCCTTTGGCCTGAGGTTTGCCTCCCCCAGCTTTCTTCAGGACGTATCTTTGTCATTCTGGCCTATGCGCAAATGCCGCCTCCCCAGAGAGGCCCTCCCTGACTGCCGACCTAAACAGCATCCCGGCAAACCAACACATCACTGTCTGCGGCATGGCGCTTGTCACCAGCTGCCGAGGTCTAATTTAGGGGTTCACTGAACGTCTCCCCAGCTCATCCTGGAGCTCTCTGAGGCTGGGGGATGAGTGTTCCTCCAGGGATGAGGGTTACGTCTGCACGTTCAGGGATCATTTCTATAGTTGGTTACTGGAGAAGTCTCTCTGAACGTGTAGAGCACCAGAAACCAGAGGAGGCGGCGCAGTGTTAAAAAAGAAAGAAAAAAAGAGAGGAGGAGCAGGCATCAGGATCCCAGTCCTGAGAGATGCCCGGAAGCCCCTGCGCCCCCATCCCGATCCCGTGGGAGCAGGGACTACAGGGCAGCCGGCTCAGGCGGCGACAGTAGGCGACCCTGTACGGCGGCATGTTGGGGCCTCCCCCCTGCCCCGCCTTGCTCAGAAGGGACCTACGTTGTAGACAAAAGGCCCAGCCCCTAAATCATCCAGGCCTAACGGGAGGGCATCTCCTTTCTCACTCTTTAATCTCGCTCTGTTCCCTTGAAACAGTTCCAGCAATGCAGCCCCAGGCGCCAGCTCCAGGGTAGGGCAGGCTGGGGGACCTGCCCACGGGACCCAGCCCTGGGGTCGGGCAGGGCAGGGGTGCCTTCTTCCGGCCTGCGGTCCGGGCGGCCCCCGCAGCGGTCCGGGCTCGGGCAGGCCCTGGCGTGGTGTCCCAATGGACGAATAAATAGGGGCGGTCAGTGGTCTAGTGGCTCAGGTGGCCTTGTGGTCTGGGTGGCTTTTCAGCGTGTGGAACTTGACGCTGTCCAGCTTCTCGAAGCGCTTCCCGCAGCGCTCGCACGTGAAGTTGTACTGCACCTCGGCCGTGTGCTTCTTCATGTGCCAGTTGAGCGACGCGCGCTGCCTGCACTGGTAGCCGCAGATCTCGCACCTGCCGGGAGCCAGGGCGGCACCGGGGCGGGGTCAGGGGCGGGGCCTCCGCGGAGGAGGGGCCGGCCGCAGAAGGGGGCGGGGCCGCCCGGGGTGCGAGTGCAGATGGCACTGAGGAAACGCCCGGCCCCGACCCCGCCCCTGGGACCTGCTGGGATCCCCTCCCTCCCTGTCCCCTGGCGGGGCAGCCCGTCACTCACTGCAGGGGCGTCTCGCCCGTGTGCGTGCGCCGGTGCACCTCCAGGTGGTTCTTCCTCTTGAAGGACTTGCCGCAGGTCTCGCAGGTGAACTCACGGACACCTGGGGGGCGGCGGAGACGCGGGCCTGAGGACACTGCGGTTCAGGGAGGGGTTGCGGGGCGTCTCTGATGCGCTGCAGAGACGGAGTAGCGGCCGCCGTCTCTCCACGTCTCCCAGGCCCCAGGGCACAGACCGACCAAACCCCGTGTCCTCCCCGTGGGAATGCCAACTACAATAATGACAGCTCGCTGCCCAGCCTGAGGCTCAAAGAGACCGCCCAGGAACACGCCCAGGCAGAGCCTGGATTCGAACTTCCAGAGAGACATAGGGTACAAACTGCCGGACCAACATGGGTCGGAATTTGTCCCCAACATTTGATCTTTGGGCGATTTCACATAAAAATCCAAAGTTCTGGCCCCTCAAAAAACCGCTGGGCCATGGCCTGCGGCTGGGCACAGGCACCCTCTCCAATGTGTCCCCAGCCCATGTGGAAGGCCCACATCTCTGCCACGGGTGGAGACAGAGGCCCAGTCCCAAGCCCACTGCCCCACCTTGCCCAGCTGACCTCCCTGCGGCTCCTGGGCGTGCCTATACAGTCTCCTGTGGCATGCAGTGTTTTTGTTATGTTTGCAGGTTTTTTTGGTGTGTTTTAAAGCAACACATTTTTTTCAGCAAAAGACAAAAAAGCAAGTGTTCTTACAACAACTAACATGACAGGCATTCTGGGGACTCATTGAAAGGTGGGTCACTGTCCCGGCTCTGCCCTGGAGCTGCTCCCTAAGTCCCACTGAGTCCTGCTCATGAGGTCATGGGGAGGTGAGGAGGAGACAGCTGGCCCCGTCCAGCCCCTACGATGCCCAACAGTGGGCCTCACTGTGACTCGCATAGCTCCAGCTCCACCCATCCCTCCAAGAGGGACAGTCTGTGTCTGGGGGACTCAGGACTGGGGTCAGACCCGCCTGCCCCAGCCTGGGCTCCCAGGCCCAAGCCCCTGGGCCCCAGCTTGCACCACCAGCCTGGCCAGGGCCTGACCTGAATGGATGATCATGTGCCGCCGCAGGTGGTTGGACAAGTAGAACTTCTTGCCGCAGCCGGGGTGAGGGCACACTTTGGTCTTCCCTTTGCGATGCACAAGGTTGACATGGTTCTGGGGGAGAGAGGGCAGGAGTGGGCACTCGGGGCCCACTCTTAGTGGTGGAGAGAGAGCTGAGGGTAGTTTAGAGGCAGGCTAGTCTGAAGAGGGGTGCCCTTGCCAGCTCGGAGACTCTCAGGGGCACAACTGGGGTCAAAGGGCAGCTTTACAGCATATCCACCACATGCCAAGTTCTGGGCTGGGGCATCAGTCAACCTGTCAAGGGCCGGGCTGTTAGCCCAGTTTATGGATGGAGAAATCGAGGCTCCCGAGGCTCTGGGGTTTGGCCCTTGTCTGCCAGGTGGGCAGTGGCGGAGCTGGCCCTGGCTTCCGGGGCTGTGAGCCCCACAGCCAGGCTTTTGCTCCATGCTACCCTGCTCCCTCCTGGGACCTGGAAGCAGACAGCGCTGATTAATTCATTTCCTTGTTCTTTCATTCTTTTTTTTTTTCTGAGACAGAGTCTTGCTCTTTTGCCTGGGCTAGAGTGTCAGCCCAGCTCATAGCAACTTCAAACTCCTGGGCTCAAGTGATCCTTCTGCCTCAGCCTCCCAAGTAGCTGGGACTACAGGCACACGCCACCATGCCCGGCTAATGTTTTCTATATATTTTCAGTTGGCCAATTAATTTCTTTCTATTTGTAGTAGAGACAGGGTCTCACTCTTCCTCAGGCTGGTTTCGAACTCCTGACCTTGAGCGATCCGCCTGCCTTGGCCTCCTAGAATGCTAGGATTACAGGCGTGAGCCACCGTGCCCGGCCTGTTATTTCATTCTCTAACTCACTGGAGCAACCAGCTGCCTGCAGCACGAGGCCTGGCACACACTAGGTGCTTCCTACACCAGCCACCCTGCCTAGACGCCACCCACAGGCCGCCGGACACAGAAGCAGGCCCCGCCCAGGCTGCTCTGGGTGGAGGCCTCACCTGGAAGCTGCTGAGGGCCACGTACACCTGGCTGCAGCCCTCGTACGGGCAGTGGAACATCTCCAGCAGGCCGTCGGCGTCCATCACCCGTGACCGCTTGCTCCGCCGCCTCCTGGAGGGAAAGGGGCCACGGTGTCTGTCATCGGAGCTGCCACGCTAGGCAGGCCGGGGGCCTGCAGGCCACTCCTCGCCCGCGCCCTTATCCGCCCCAGCACCCACTTCTCAGGCTCCTTGGGGATCTCGTAGATGATGGCAGACATGTCGCTGCCGTCCAGCTCCTCCCCGTCCGCCTCTGCCTCGGGCTCCGTGCCCTCGGGCACCGTTGCTGCCAGCTCTGCCAGCTCTGGGGCCACCGGCTCCTCCTTCTCCTCCTTCTTGAGCACGTACGGGTCCTCCTTCTCTAGGGGGTGGACACAGGGCAGGTGTCCGTGGAGGACGAAGGCTGCCGAGGAGCCCACTTCGAGGGCCTCTCTTGCCCGCTCCCTCCCGGGCCCCACCCGGCCCTGGCCAGAGGCCACGGCGGGCCCCCCACACCTTTCTTGGTCTCGATGCACGCTATGGTGGTGGCGTCCATGGTGCCGGGCTGGCTGCCCTCGGGCTCGGTCTGGGTGTAAGCTGCCACGCCCTCCATCATGGCGCAGGGCACCTCCTCGCCCAGGCCGCCGCCAGTGCCACTGCCCGCCGCCACGTTGAGATGGATGCCCTCGGCCGTGAGGGCGTCATAGCCGGGGCCGGCGATGATGATCACCTGGGAGCCGGGCACCATGCCTGGCATGGGGCAGCTGGCCACCACCTCGCCCAGCGCCTCCTGGGGCACGTTCTCAAAGAGGGCGCCAGGGCCCGCGCCCACTTGCACGGGCACCGGCACACACACCACGGTCTCCAGGGCTTCGGGCCCACTGCCTGCAGGGTTGGGGCACAGCGGGGCACCCTGCTCGGCCAGGCTCTCCACGTGGTGGACGTCGAAGGGGATGTGCACGCCCTCCTGAGTGATGAGCCCGCTGCTGCCCACTGGGCTGGTGGGGGTCACCGCTGCTGCCGCCGCCGCTGTGGCCTTGACCGGTTGGCTCTCAGGGGGGTCCTCAGAGTCGGAGCCTGAGCCTGAGCTGGACGAGTCGGAGCTGCCAGCCGCCAGGCCATTGCCCACTGTGCAGGCGGAAGAAAGAGGACGGTTACGATAGCAGCAGCAGCAGCTGGTTTTTGTTGAGGGCTCCCAGGGGCTGGGCACTGGGACCCTCTTACTGCCAAAACCAGCAGCCCTCGCCCACCACTCCAAGGCCCGTGTTCCTAGAGACACTCTTCTCCTTGGCCCCCAGACGCCTACTCTGGTTTCCTGGGCCCTCCCTGGTGGCTTCTTCCCAGCCTCCCAGGGCTTCTTCTCAGCGCCTAACTCGCCCACAGGGCCCTGCCCTGCACTGACGGTGTTGAAGGCCACTCGGATTCTCAACACCACCTGGGCGTCCAGCAATTCAATTCAGTTCTGACCCCATCTAGCTGGAGAGTGCGTGGCACATCCCACAAGTTACAGGGCTCAGTCCCACCAAACTGGCCGCGCTTCAGATGCCAGCTGCAAGCCCTGGGCCACCCCATATGTCTGACCAACTGGCTATAAATTGGGGGTTCCCACCACCCCTAACTCAGGTTTGATAATCTGCTCATTACTCAAAGATGACAGCTTTATCATACAGAATAGAATTCAGGCACAGCCAAATGGAAGAGACACAGAAGGCAAGTAAGGGGGGTCGGCGCACAGAGCTCCCGTGCCCTCCCGGGCCGGGCACCACCCTCCCAGCACCTCCGTGTTTCCCCCAATGTGGGAGCTCTCAGGACTTCATTGTTCGAAGGTTTTTAAAACATTTTTTTTTTTGAGACAGGGTCTCACTCTGTCACCCAGGCTGGGGTGCAGTGATGCAATTATAGCTCACTGCAGCCTTGAACTCCTGGGCTCAAGTGATCCTCCTGCCTCAGCCTCCCCAGTACCTGAGACTACAGGTGGGAGCCACTGATTATGATCTGATCTCCAGCTTCCCTGTCCAGTCCTTGGAGGTTGAGGCACGGGGCTGAGAGTTTCCGGTGGCTCTGATCATGTGTTTGGTCTCTCTGGTGACCAGCCCCATCCAGAGGCTATCCTAGGGGCCCCACCCTGAGTCACCTCATTAGCTTAGACTCAGGGCTGTCTCAGAGAAGCTCCTTCTGAAAGGAGCTTGTTATGAATAACAGGAACCACTCCTGTCACTCACGAACCTCCTTGGTGAGCTCTACATTCTTCCATCTCACCCCTTCCAACGGGGTCTCAGGGGTATCTCTGACTCAGATCTGCAATGCCAGGCTCTGAATCGTCCCTCTAAAAAACCCCCACACTGCTCATGGGCATCCCTGACTCAGCGGATGGCAGCTCGGTCCCTCCAGTGGCTCAGGCCAAAGTCCTGGGGCTATCCTTGACTTCTCTCTCTCCCACACCCACTTCCAATCTGTCAGCAAAACCTGTTGGCGCTGCATCCAAAATACATCCACCAGCAGCCCAACCACTTCTCCCGCCTCTGCTGCACACACGGGTCACGGCCGCCTCCTCCCGCTGCCAGGACCGGTGCCGTCCCTTCTCCTGGGACCCCTGGCTCCTGAGAATCAGCTCATTGCTACTTCCTGTGACAGAAACAGGCAACAGCTGCTCACCAAACCCACCTCTTCCTCCTGGCACCTGGGCTGACTACATTTCCCAGCATCCCTTGTATGAAGGTGTGGTCACGTGGCTGAGTCCCAGCCAATGGAACGTAAGTAGACATGAGTTCCCAGGGTCAAGCCCCCACCTCGCTGTCAATATCCTTCCCAACTCACTTCCCAAAGCCCCCATCACTTCCTGCCCTCGCCAACTCTCCAGGCCCATTGGCCTAGGATACCCTAGGCAGGTTCCTGCCCCAGGGCCTTTGCACTTGCCACTTCCTCTGTGGAATCCTCTTCTCCCAGACACCAAGAGGGCTCCTCCCTCACCTCCATCAGGTGCTTCATCAAATGGTATTTTTGCAGGGAGGCTTCCCTGACCACCCGCCTCTAACAGTTCCCTTCTCCTTCTTTTCTTTCTTCCCAAAGCTCTTGCCACCTTCCAGTGTTCTCCATATTTTACTCGTTCATCTTGTTTACATCTGCGTCCCCTCTGGAATGTCAACTCCACGAGGACGGGGGTCCCTGTGCAGTGTCCCCAGTGCTGAGAAGGCTGCCTGGTCCCCAGCGAGTGCACGTTCCCGTACTCGAGCGCATCCCAGGCCAACGCTGGGGTGAAGGCCACGGGCGCGGCCACTCCAGCCAGGTGTTTGGTGCTGAAGTCCACACACGGGGAGAAACCGGGGACAGGAAAAATGAACGGCTGTTGCTTGAATGACATGCTCGTGACACAGTCTGCAAACTCTGTGTCTACAGCCCCAGAGAGTCACCTGCAGAGCACAGACTGCCCGGGTCAGATCTGGTCCCCAGCTGTGTGAACACGGCACCTCACGTGACCTCTCTGGGCCCGGGGATAACTATGGTACCTACCCTGGGGATGTTTTGGGTCCTTTTTCAAATTTTTATTTATTTTTATTTTTTAACTATTTATTTTCCAAGAGCCTGCACAACACAAATATTCTCTCTCTCTTTTTTTTTTTTTTTTTTTTTGAGACAGAGTCTCGCTTTGTTGCCCAGGCTAGAGTGAGTGCTGTGGCGTCAGCCTAGCTCACAGCAACCTCAAACTCTTGGGCTCAAGCAATCCTTCTGCCTCAGCCTCCTGAGTAGCTGGGACTACAGGCATGCGCCACCATGTCCAGCTGATTTTTTTTATATCTATTAGTTGGCCAATTAATTTCTTTCTATTTATAGTAGAGACGAGGTCTCGCTCTTGCTCAGGCTGGTTTTGAACTCCTGACCTCAAGCAATCTGCCTGCCTCGGCCTCCCAGAGTGCTAGGATTACAGGCGTGAGCCACCAAGCCTGGCCTCTCTTTTTTTTTTTAAAAGACAGGGTCTTGCTCTGTCACCAGGCTGGAGTGCAGTGGTGTCATCATAGCTCACTGCAGCCTCAAACACCTGCAATCAAATGATCCTCCTGCCTCAGCCTCCCGAGTAGCTGGGACTACAGGTGTGTGCCACTGTGCCTGGCTGGGTCTTTAATGAGTAAATATATGCAAAGGCTTAGGACAGTAGGGGGCTCAAAGTAGGCACCTTGTAAGTTTCCTATTTTATTATTATTAATATCACATGCCCTGAATCTGGGCCCAGGCCTGATGGCCCTGGGGTAGCAGCAGAGTTGGAGAGAAGAAGGATGAGCCCCTCCTTCTAACTAATTTCCCCCTGTCCTGTCATGTGCAGGGTGGGCTAAGTCACCTGGCACCACCCTGAAGGAGCGGGCAGTCACCTAATAAGTTGAGGACAGGGCCAGAGCATGCGTCTGGGGCCACCCGCCTGCAGAGTGTGGCTGTTAAGGCTGACTCGGGACTTCTTCCTGGGTAATAACAATATGATGACAGAAATAGTCCCAGTGGGGGTCTGCTTGGGGACTCCGGGAGGGGTGGGGCCGCCCTAGTAGGTAAGAGCAGGCAAGGGGTGCTGCTGTGGGAACAGGGCTGGGACAGGGACACAGCCGCATCCCTCACCCCCCCCCACCCCAGGCCGACCTATTACCGGATGGACCAGTCATGTTACTCCTGGGGCCTAGGGTCCCTCGACTGAGGACAGGGCCCTAGGGAAGACTCATGGTGGCCTGTGGCAGGGCCTGGATGGCACACAGGGAAGGGGGAGTGACAGGCACGGGCGGGCGGGGTGCTGGTCACAGAGCACAGGACAGGGCGGCTGAGGGGCCGCTGCATGCTGGGAGCCTGGCTGACACGCAGCAGGATGGCCGTTGGCGAGGGTGCCCACCCGGAACACCTCTCGCCCCCGGCTTCCCCTAGGCCAGCTGGGATGCCACCTGCTCTGACACGCCTGCCAGCACGGGCTCAGCCCCGGTGGCTGCCCCACCCTCAGCCCTGGCCGGGCGCCTGGCAGCGGGCCCCACGCTCCTCCTCACGGCCCATGCCAAGCCCCGAGGCAGCCGGCAGCCCCCTCACCACCCACAGGGTCCCCTCTGTCCTGCTCTGGGTCACTGAGTCCCTGCTGGCCCTGTGGGATGGCAGGGAAGGAGACAGGAGAAGGAGAGAAGGCGCAGGGGGCAGAGACAAAACCAAAGGTCAAGCGGGAGGAGAGAGAGGCCGCTGCAGAAAGAACAGGATGGACAGAGGCCAGAGGACCAGAGAAAGCCAAGGGAGCGCCAGGACCCGAGAAAGAGCTGGAGAAAAGAAGAAAGGAGGCAGTGGCCAGGAGACAGCGGGGCCACCGCGCCAAGGTGGCCGCCAGCACGCCGCCCCCGCCCCAGCTGCCGACCGGGCTGGCCTTGGGCACAGATGGGAAAGCTGCTCCGCAAAATGGGGACCGCCTCTCCGGTAGCTGCTGTTCTGTTTGTGACGCTGGCCGGGAGCCCCCCAGACGCTGGTGGCCCCCACATGCCCTCGCCCCGAGGACCCACCTTTATCACTGTCGGGGTCCGAGTCGCTGAGCGGCTTCAGGGGTGAGTGCAGGTCCTGGAAGTAGCGGTGGCCGGCTTCGCACTGCCACACGGCCGTGGTGTACAGGCCGAAGGTGGGGTCCAGCTCGACGAGGTGGGGCTCGTAGGGGCAGCGGTGCTTGTGGTCCTCGTACCAGATCACCACGTTCTTCAGGCAGTTCACGTTACGCCGCCGCCCTGCAGACACAGGGTGGGGGCAGGGGTGAGGGGCAGGGGCGCCGCCATGCTGACACTTTCCCTCGAGCCACCTGGGCCTTATGGCTCCCCTGGGTTGAGATACCCTCCTAAGCCCTGCCCAGGCCTGCACCCAGCTTACAGAGGGGGAAACTGAGGCTCAGAGAGGTGAGACACACCCTGGAGAGAACAAGGACTGGTCAGGGACTGTGCTCATTGGCTGGGTTAAGTCACATACACAGTGGGGTCTGCCTGGCACATAGTATGTGCGCAGTAATTGTTAGCCACTTGCTATTGTTCCAGTCATCCTCGTCAACACCTCCTGCCTATACCTGTGCAGTCCTTCGGCCCTGGACCCCCTGGCTCCTGCCCTCGCTCCCCGCCCCACCCCCGGGAAACCCCCAACCAAGGCCCGGCCCCCCCCCGCCCAAAAGCCAACAGGGCCCCCAACCCCCCTAAGGGAAAAACCAAAAGGCCCCAACTGGCCCACAAGGCCCACTCTAACTTGTCACCTCCTCCCCTCCCCACTTCAATCACTACACTCCAGCCACACAGCCTCCTTGCTGTTCCTTAAATGAACAGGAGTGGCCCGGCCACAGGGCCTTTGCACGGGCTCTGCCCGCTCCTCTAGAGATGCACCTTGCTCCTTCCCCCGGGTCTCTCCCCAAATGCGCCCTCCTCTGAGAGGCCACCCTGTCCCCTAGTCACTCCAGCGGACCTGCCTTTACTTGCTGTCCCTTTCCTCCTGGTAGCACCTAGCTGGCTTACGTGTGCCTTGTCTGTCGCCCCCACTAGAATGTCTGCCCTCAAGAGCAGGGACAGCTATCTGTTTTGTCCCTCCTGTGTTCCCAGTGCCCCACAGGGCCTGGCACGTAGTGGGTGCTTCACGAACATCTGCTGCGTGAGAAGAACGCTGCAAGGTCGCAGTGGAGCCAGACTGCCTGGGCTCAAATCCTGGGAGGGGACAGGCTCACTGCCACCAGATGCCTTCCCTGGTTGGGTGGCCTTCACACTGCCAGACACGGCCCGTGACCCCCGGCCCCGGGGCTCAGAGCTGTGCAGACCCAGGCTGTTGGGACTCCCACTGACAGGTGGCTGGGGGACAGGAGGGACCACCTGCGCCTCGCCCCCATCCAGGCTAGCACAGGACACACTCTAGGCCTTTGCACAAGCTGCTCCCTCTGCCCAGCTCTCCCCTGGCCGGTGCAGGGAGCAGGGAGCTGAGGGCTCCGGGTGGGGGCCTGGCTCGGCCACGTTCCAGCGGTGCCGGCGGAGGCAGTGGTAGTAACCCGGCTGCTCAGGGCCCCGTTTCCTCACTTATTCCCAGCTCTCCCCCTCTCCTCGGGGCTGGGGCTCTACTTACTTTTCTTCCGCTTTGGCTTTTTGGGGACTTGCTCCCAAGGCTTCCTGCAACAGAGAGAGGCAGTGAGGGTGAACGCGGGACCGCTGTGGGCCATGTCCTGACTGGTAAGTGATGACAGCAGCCACGGCCAGAATGGGCACTTCTGTTTCCCTGTCCCCCCTGCTTGCTCTAGCAGCGAGGCAGAGGGCCCTCACGTGGGGGCTCTCTCCTCCACTGCCACCAGCCCTGGGAGGGCGGCCTAGTACCGTCACCATCTCACACAGCAGGAAAACTGAGGCTCAGATGTGAGGCCGCCTGCCCCGGTCCCACACTCAGGGAGCAGGGAAGTCGGAAAGGGACATGGGAAGTCCGTGGCGGGCAGAATCCCGAGACGCTCCCATGATTCTCCCAGGGAATCGTGGCCTGTGTCATCCTTTCCCCGGGAGTTGGGCGGGCCTGTGAGTGTGACTGGCCACCACTTCTTTCTTGCTCGAGTGACCCTGAGTGAAACATTAAGGTGGGCCTGCCCTAATCAGGGGAGCCCTTAATGGGCCCCTCTGCTGAAGGCAGAGACTGGAAGCTGTGAGGGCGTCTGTGGAGGGGCCATGGGGCAAAACCCACAGAGTGGCCTCTAGGACTGAGAGTGGCCCTGGACGACAGCCACCAAGACAGCAGGGACCTCAGTCCTGCAACCACGAGGAAATGACTGCTGGCGGCAACCCAAGGGGTGGTGGAAGTAGCTGTGCCTTTCCCTAGTCGAGCCTTCAGATGAAGATGCAGGCCACCAATACCTCCATTTCAGCCTTGTGACAGCCTGAGCAGAAGACGTAGAGAAAACATGCCAAGATCCTGACAGAAATGTGAGATAAAAGACGTGTGTGGTTTTAAGCCGCTGAGTTTCAGGTCATTTGTCACGTGGCCTCCTAGAGTGGCCTAGAGTGGCCTCCTAGAGTGGCCTCAAAACCTGCACTGCCCCGCCCAGGTTGGCTGAGCACCCTGGGGGAAGACTGCTGGACCCACCCAGGAGGGCTGGCTTTGCTAAGGACCCTGCCCAGACGCCAACTGCCCACTCTACGAGGGCTGTGGCCCAGGTGGCTGGCCTGCTTGGTGGGTCCTGCCCCTGCAGCTGGCCGAGGACCAAATGGTCCAGCCACGGGGCCCACCTGCCTCCAGGCCTTCCCTGCTCTGCCTGTGGCCTGACGCCCTGCCTGCGTGGCCCAGTGAGCTGACGCCTCAGAGCACAGAGCAGGGCAGGCCCTGTTCCTCCCACACCAGGATGGCTGCGGGGTCCGCCCAACGGGTGCGTGACACCACATGGCTGCCTGGCTGTAGCCGACACTGGCTCTCTAGACTAGGGCAGGTGCTTGGGAGACGCCCCTCCCCAGGCTGCTAGGGCCACCCCCCACCAGACACCCCGCCTGGGCCGCTTCCCAGTCCTTCTTCCTCTATGCCACAGCAGCAGGCTCCTCTGTGACCTCAGGCAAGTGACCTCGCCTTCCTGTGCCTCAGTTTCCCCACCTGTGGCATGGGATCATAACAGCACCTTCCTCACAAGGCTGGCCTGATGCCATGTGTATCATTAAGAATTTGGCACAGCTCCTGGCACTTAGTCACTGCTCGCCAGACGGTGGCAATGGTCATTTGTGATTACCAATATTGTCGTGGAGCCGGCCCCTGGCCTTGACACAAACATCCTGACAGCCAGTCTGGCGTCTTTTATCAGCAACACCGTCCACCCCCCCTACTCCTGCCCAGCCCCGTAACAATTCTCAGCTGACACCCAAGTCTGCTCCCCAGAGGAGCACCCGGAGCTTCTCCATCCCGTCTGCCCCATGCACCCTCGCCCCATCCCAGGTGCCTCTACCCCCGCCACAGCTCCACCTTCCCCTCCAAGGGGCCGGACTAGACCCTCACCCAAACCCAAGTCCTGATGTCCCCGGCCACCTCTGCCCACTCACAGCTGGGGGCTGGGGATGCAACATGGCAGTGGAGACAGGCTGGGACGTCAGCCCGATCCGACTGAGTTCAAGCCTCAGTTCTGCTATCAACCGTGTGGGTGACCTCAAGCATGTCTGGTCCCCGCTGAGCCTCAGTTTCCTCATCGGGAAAGCGGGGATCAAAGCAGTGCCTCCCACACAGGGTCGCCATGGGCAAGGGTGAGTGTAACACGGTGAGGGCCACGTTCCAACTCCAATACGGTGCTTTCTCCCCCACTCCCCTGCCTGCTTCTACAAGCTCCACCACCCCATGTCTTTAGCCCCCTTAGCCCGAGTTGTCTACACTCGCCATCCCCACGTCTTTTCCTTTATCTCCCTTGAACTCCTCCAGTCAGGGATTTTCTTTTTTTTTCTTTTTTTTGAGACAGGGTCTCGCTTAGTTGCCCAGGCTAGAGTGAGTGCCGTGGAGTCAGCCTAACTCACAGCAACCTCAATCTCCTGGGCTCAAGCCATCCTCCTGCCTCAGCCTCCCTACTAGCTGGGACAACAGGCATGTGCCACCATGCCCGGATAATTTTTTCTATATATATTAGTTGGCCAATTAATTTCTTTCTATTTATAGTAGAGATGGGGTCTCACTCTTGCTCAGGCTGGTTTCGAACTCCTGACCTCGAGCAATCCGTCCGCCTCGGCCTCCCAGAGTGCTAGGATTACAGGCGTGAGCCACCTCGCCTGGCCTAGTCAGGGCTTTTCTCCATCACGCCACACAGTCCAGTCACGGTCACCAGGTACATCTGTCCCCCCGGGTGCTGGCCCCGAGGCTGTTGCTTCTCTCTCCTCTCCCTGACTGCCCTGAGCAAAGAGAGAGCACGCCGGGCTCCGGCCTGTGTGGTCTGTCTAAAAGCATCCCCTCAGCAATTTCAATCACTACATCACCTTGACCTTGGTGACTCCTAAATTCAGATCCCCAACTTGGCCACCTCCCTGCTACAACGCTGCAGCCCCACCCCCTTCCTCGACACCCCACGCAGGGGTCGCACAGGCATCTCACACACGGGCAGTCATCTTGCCCCAAAAATGCCCCTTCTAAGTTACCAGCAACTGAAAGTTCACAGGTGCTCAGACCCAAACTTCGAGTTGGTCCCCTCAGATTTCCAACCAGCAGCAAACTCTTGATGGCCCTAACACAGGGTCTCACTATGTTGCTCAGGCTGGTCTTGAACTCCTGGGCTCAAGTGATCCTCCCATATCAGCCTCCCAAGTAGCTGGGACTACAGGTGTGAGCCATCATGACCAGCTAACATTATGGCCCTAATTTCAACCCCACTTCTCTCCGAGGACCCACCCGGGTCCAGCCCCGGTCACCACTCACCTAGACCCAAGCAGGTACCTCCTGCCTAGCCTCCCAGCTCCTGCCCTCCCCCCTCCAGTCTTTATGTAAGAGTTACTATGATTCTTTTAAAGTTTTGCAATGTAAAAAGAAAAATCCAAGCACATACAAAACTGGAGAGAAGAGTACACTGAACCTCTTTGGACCCATTGCCAGCTTTAACAATTGTCGATTCGTGAATTTCTTTCAACTCAAATCCCACTCCTTCTTCCTGCCATACACCCCCTGGAAGTGTTTCTTTTAAAATACAAGCCAGATCACGTCACTTCTCTGTTTAAAATCCCGCACTCACACGAAGCAGAAATGCCTTGCAAGGGCTCCCGTCTCACTGGGAGGAAAAACCGAGTCACTGCTCGGTGCCTCCATAGCCCGCAAGGCACCGCACGACCTTTCTGTCCTCGTCCTGTCCTGTCTCTGCTCACGCACTGCACTCCAGCCACCTGGGCCTCCTCGCTGTCCCCGGCACACACAGGCAGGGGCCTGCCTTGGAGCCTGCGCACTTGCTATTCCGTCTATTTCAGCCATTTCTCTGGAATCCTTTGGGTCTTTTCTCAAATGCTGTCTTCTCAACGTGACCCTCCTTGACGCCCTCTTTAAATGTCCAACTCACATTCCCAATTCCTCTTTCCCTATTCCGCTTTTGTTTTTTCCATAGCCCCGCCACTCTCACATGTATGATATAAATTGCTTATTAGGTTTCTGGTTTGCAGGAGACAAGCCTCCGAACAAGCCACCCCCTCTGCCCACTAGAATGTCAGCTCCACAAAGCAGGCACCTTTGTAGGTACTCTCATCATGTCCAGTCCTGCCCTAGGGCACACAAAGGAGCCTGCCACCCTGGGGAGGGGGTGGGTACAATTCAGCAGGATCTGGTTGATTCTTGACCTTCAGAATTTCCCCAGGGGAAACGTGAGAACATGTGCGTGTGAAAACCTGGGCTCAACAAGGATTTCACTGCAGCACTGCTCACCATTGTAACAGCTAATACTCAGACTGCTAAGTGTCAGGTACTGGTCTAAGCTCTGCATGTTTTAACTCATTTAATCCTTGCATCAGGAAGGGAAAACTCCTGACACTGCTCCTTGTCAAGACTTGAGACTTTGCAAAGACAGGTCTCTGCGGTCCACATAACCAGCTAACTCGGGGCTTCCTCTTCACCTAAGCCTCCCTGGGCTGTGTTCCCCAGGAGCCAGGAGACTTAGGGGAGCACAGTCCAGATTGTGAGGGGTCCCACGGTAGGTGTGTGCGGCCTAGGGTGGTAGGAATGTGACCATATGCAGTCCCACATGGGGTACCAGAACTTCATGGGGGGCAGAACTGGGTGCCCCGTGGTGTCCAGCCAGAGTCCCGGGCCAAGTAGGAGGTGTTGGGAGATGAGACCTGTGTGGGGCGGAGCAGCCCCTCCAGGAACCGAGTAGTTAGGCCGCCTGGAGGTGTGGCCAGTCCTAGGATTGGGCAGCCGGAGCCCTAACAGGCGGGGCCAAGAGCCCAGAGGCGGGCCGAGAGGCTGGGCGCATCCTGGGATTGGGCTGTCGGAGACGCGGGCCGGCGCCGGGCCCCTGGGCGGGGCCCACAGGTGCCGGGGGCGGGGCCAGGCTCGGCGGGGGATGGGGGCGTCTCCTCCCTCGCTCCCTCCCTCCCTCAGGCCGGGCCCCCTCACCCGTGGCGGCCGCTACGCTGGCCGCGCTCCAGCGAGATGAGGTAGGCGGCGAGCTTGGCGTCGCTCCAGCCGCTGCGGCGCCGCAGGTCCACCCAGGGCCCGTGTGCCTCGCCCAGGTACACGCGCCGCACGTCGTACTTCTTCCGGGACTCGAGCCGCCGCCGGGCCCGGTCAGACTCCGTGAGCCGCGGCCGACCCCGCGCCTTGCGGCCCGCCGCTCCCTCCTCGGCCGCAGCCTCCCCGCCTGCGCCCGCCTCAGCCTCCGCCTCCGCCTCGGGCTCCGGCGCCCGCTCCGCCATCCCCCCCACCTTGGTTACCAGCCTCCCCCGTTGTTAGGAGCCCGACCGGAAGTGGCGCGCATGTACCGCGCCGCCGGGAAATTTCTCGTGGTGTCTCACTGCCCCGCGGCGCCAAAAGAAGACCGGGAGCAAACTCTGCGCATGCGCGCAACTCACTCTCCCCCTCCACCTGCCCTTTTTTTGGTTAAATTTTCAAACTTAGCTTAGAGGGAAAGGCTGAAGGTTTGTGACCATCCCTAGGAAGAAAGCGCCAGAAGAGCTTGTAAATCCTGGGGGCTCTCGCCTGCCCGTTGCTGGCAGCCTGAGATGCTGGGGAGGCGATGCAGCCCCACCAAGCAGGGCAACTTTTATTGCTGTACACTCAAAGGCCATGTCATGCTTTCACACCAGTCCACATCCTCCTCGGGCCACAGTCTGTGCCCACCAGCCCGCTCATACTCAACTCTGGCCCTGCTGCTGTTGCTGCAGAGTGTCTTCTTCCTCCTGGCCCTCGGGCGGTGGTGGCCTGGCCGGCTCCTCCAGCCCAGGGGACGGCGTCAGGAGCTCCCCGGTGGACCCGGCCAGGCGGAAGACCAC